GTTATAATTAAGTTGCTAAGCATAAAATCTCAAGTACTCTTCGAAATGTAGTGTTTGGAGGATAAGTGTATGATAAAATATTAGTAATTATGGGTAACTGCACAAGATTCTCAGGTATTACCAACTCATAAGCCACGTGATCAAGTATCTCGGCAGTAAGTTGGCGTTGTCAAATCTCAAACTACATCATAGTACCGTCATTCTCTATAAGCTGTGAGAGTAGGAGTATTATTAAGGACGTACAATCTTACAGCAGCACAACTGCTCCTGAAACCTGAGGGCTTATCTTTGTATGCAGTAAGTAAATTTATAAGCCAAAAACCCTTAAAGGTGTGTAGAAGACTGTTACAGTACGCTCTTCTCGATTAAAAGGTTTGCCCGGTAATCGTATCATAGTTATAGATAGCTTATTCCCGAGGCACTGTAATAACCAAAAAATAATTCTGATGCGAAAACTGCGGACAGATGAAAAGTTTTTTGGAACCATGGCAGGTCCGTAGAGCAAGGACAGTGCGGAAAATCTGCAAATAACTCAAAATATGTTCAAACCTCCCAAACTGGACTAGTCCTGATGAATGTCTTGTTCATAGCCCATTTTAGTAAGTACGGGCCAATCTTAAATGAATACTATGGAAGGTTATAAGCTTCTGAAAATGAGCAAAACATGTGTTTATTCCGAGAAAAGACTAATTACTCGAAAAAAAAAAACTTTGACAATATCTGATCAGCCCAGTATAGTCAAACAGGCCATTTCTGGAACGCTGTAGTGGCTATAGAATGATCTTAGAATGAACTTCCTGGACAGAGCCTTCTAAATTTCCGACAAGCTTGCAAAAAAAACACAGATTTCTAAAATATATTGACACGTAACTCAAAAAATGTCCAGTTCCCCTGATCAAACCGGTATATTTGGATGTATATTTCTTAGAGCATTTCAAACACCACAGTGTTGTTCGAGAATGAATATCTTGAAGATATGAAAACCGTTACTGAATCAGCTTTGTTGCGCATTATGTTCAGAATGTTGGAATTGTGCCAGCAGAAGCACATTACCCGTTGGAGGGTTCTGAAGCGGTGCTGTGCAGATTGAATGCCTCGTCGTCAAGACAAGATTCTGATTCATTCTTTCTTCTATAGTTCATTTTACTAGAAGCACATATATATGCTTTATCCTCAGTTACTTCAGTGAATAGACAAG